CTCATCCAACATCAGTGTCTGATCTCAGTAATGCTCTTGTGGCTGAATGTACACAAATCCCTACAGCCACGCTCCAAAATCTAGTGGAAAGACTTTGCAGAAGTGCGGAGGCTGTTTAGGGAAGACCGATTCCCTATTAATGCCCATGGTCGTGGAATGGGATGTTCAACAATCATTGGGAAGCATTTCATGTTTTTTTGCTTGCAACAGTACAGGCAGATATGAAGGAAGTTACCCAAGAATTGCTTCATATACAAAAATACTTCAGTCTACCTGTCTTTGCACTGAAAATGGTGATGAGTGAAGCATCAGGCATTTGTTATAAACCTGAATGAGACCTTTACAGCTGCTTTTGAAGCATGCTTGTACAAATGATAACCATAATGTAAATAAGTACAGCTCCTAAATTTCTTCTGGGTTCAATTTGTATATTAAAAGAAAGGTCATGGTCTAATACAAAACTAACCCCTGCTTAGTGTTCAACTCATCACTTCTAAATACGTTTCTGAGAAACAGCAGTCAGTAGTTACCTGACAGTTCCCTGAGAAACAGCAGTCAGTAGTTACCTGACAGTTCCCTGAGAAACAGCAGTCAGTAGTTACCTGACAGTTCCCTGAGAAACAGCAGTCAGTATTTCCCTGAGAAACAGCAGTCAGGAGTTACCTGAGAAGCAGCAGTCAGGAGTTCCCTGACAGTTCCCTGAGAAACAGCAGTCAGTATTTCCCTGAGAAACAGCAGTCAGGAGTTACCTGAGAGTTCCCTGAGAAACAGCAGTCAGTAGTTACCTGACAGTTACCTAAGAACCAGCAGTCAGTAGCTCCCTGAGGAACAGCAGTCAGTAGTTCAGCAGTACATAAAAAACAAAACTATGATAACGAATACGTGCTTTGCCTGTTCATTCAATGTAACCCGAATGGAAGTCAGCTAAATCTTATCCCATCTTCTTTAACTTATTTAACGTCCATCTAAACAACAACGCAGTTTCTGCTTCAGAAGCAGATTCAGATAACCGAAAGCACTCAGCTGCATTTGCAACACCTTTATATTTTGCTATAAAAATCTGAACTAACCGGTTAGCCTGCTATATTAGCAAAGCGTGTTCCCTTTCTCCTACCCACATTCCGACAAGTCCCGCCTCCTGCACTGGGATTGGCTAAGACGTCACTGTGACTGTGAGTATGAACAATCTAACCAATCACAATGCAGGACGGTGGCTATTACTGCCCAATCATAACTCTGGAAACCAAAACTGTTGGAATACAGGTGGGACAAAAAGAACAACAAAACATGCTAGCTTACAGACAACCCGAGTCCTTAGTAACAAGTAATTTGCAAGAAGCACACAGAGTAAGCTGTAGATAAGCGGACGCACCGTCGCACTGGAATAACGTCAAATGCGTTTCAAATAAATAATATATAAGCAGATACCCTTTTATCCAGCACGAGCCCCACTGATCCGGTACCGACCTGCCAGAATCTCCCGCCACTTCAGTTCGCTGAGTCTGATATCGAGCCGATTTCCGTTTTCCCGGCAAAATTGCGCGGAACCCAGAGAGCACGCTGATTGGTCTAAATCCAGGAAGTGGCTGTATTACGTGCGTCAGCGGCCATGATGGATGAGTGGGCCTACAAAACCCTAGCAGTAGCTAGAGGGCAAGACAGACACATCTGTAAGGTTTTTCAATTTTTATGCAAAAAAAAAAAAAATAATAATTAATAATAATAATAATAATAATAATAATTTATAATATATTAATAATTAATAATAATAATTTCAATATATTTCAATATAATGTATATAATGTATATATTAATTTGGTTACAAATTAAGTCTAAATATGAACTTTATATAAGTTTAACTTTACCAGTGTAAATATTTACAAAATATTACTTTATTAATATAAAATATTAATTTAAATATTTTCAATTTAATTTTCTTACTTCAGGAATTTTAGTCTTTACAATTTCCAAATAAAGGAATGCAGGCTATATGTAAGTAGGCCTATTTTGTATTTTATATAAATAAATAGATTCATTCATATTCAGTAAAAATATGCTTTATCCTGGTCAGGGTCAAGGTGGATCTGGAGCAGGTGCCTGTAACACTGAGTGTGAGGAGGGAATATACACCCAGGATGGGGCTCCAGGCCATCGCAGGGCACCACGCACATTCACACCTAGGGATAATTTAACTAGCCAGTCCATGCACCAGCAGGTTTCTCTGGGAGGTGGGAGGAAACTGGAGAACCCAGAAGAAACCATGTGGACACAAGGAGAACATGAAAATCCATTCAGAGAGAACACCAAGCTCAGGATCTGCAACAACAACAACAACAACAACAACAGCTCCAGCCTAGTCCAAGAGCACAGCTGTAACAGCTGTTGGTACAATAAAAGGAGAAAAGGCTTTGCGAAACGAAGCTGAACGCTCCCTGTCGGTTATGCAGGAAGTAAACACATTCAAAACACAGTCACGTTCCTCACCAGCTGCCAAAGCCAAGCTGACATGACACTTAACCAATTAGATGAACGCAACGCAAAGGCTCAGCCAATCACATTTCACACACTGTGGACGTGACAGGACGGGTGTCTGGGAGGGCTCTCATCGCTGAGCGCTCTGATTGGTGCAGAAAGCAAAGGGGCGGAGTTATGAGTGAATTAGTAAGGCACTGTGTCAGAATTGGAAAGCACATTTTTAAAAATGAACAAGAAGAGAAAAATACACAATACAAATAATAAATACTCACACATATATATATATATATATATATATATATATATAAAGAAAACTATAATAAAAAATAAATTGATCTTGAGGGGGTTAATCAAGGTATAAGTCTTAAGGCACTCCTCTTTTTCAGTTGTTTTAAGGATTGAAAGAAAAGTCATTTTTAAATGCCACAAAACTTGGAGCACTTTAACAAATCTACATTTACCCATAAATGTAAAATTTACCCATAATCAAAATATTATTACACAAAAATTCAACCCCTTTATTTTGCATAACAACATAATCGGAAAGCACATGTTAACTGCCTTAATACTGTCCAATACTGACTAGTGTTCTTACAAAGAGATCTGGTATAAACCAGATGACATTTGAGTGAAATGTGAGTGAATGAAAGAGTCTTTCCCAGTGTTGCCAGGTCCACAGGCTGCTATTTATATGTTACTGAGTGACAGTCATGCACCTGATGAACTCTAAAAGAAGTGTAAATGGTTTAGATAGAGGATTATGTGTAGGTCTGGTGCTGAGCCAGGGTGTGTGTGTGGAGTAAAGCTGTTACTAAAGATGAATGAATGAATGAATGAATGAATATTGAGCTGTTTTGGGGGGAACCCTGATTTATTCTCCCTTTTATTCTCCCAAAAATCGACCAATTATAGAATTCGGATTTTACTCCAGCACTCAGTTGGATGTGACTATTTGAGTTAGGATATTTCTTCTCGTTTGAGACAGTTCACACGGTGGCTCCGCCCCCTCGTGTGGCTCCTCCCCTTGATGTAGCCCCGCCTCCCAAGTGGTCCAGTCGGTGATTGATTGGCGCAGATGCGTGCGCTGCTGTGTTACTGCGCGAGGACAGGACGCCGTCGCTGCAGGGTAAGCAGCTGCTCTTGCATTGTGTTTGTTATTCTCGTTGCTCGTTTAGTGTATGATAACGCTCGTGCAGGGAAGCAGCAGTAATATGCAGGTCGTTCGGCATGAACCGGACGTGTGTTGATGTGGTGAGCTCGTGCTGTGTGTCAAAGCCACTTTTCTAACGGCTCTCTCTCTCTCTCTCTCTCTCTCTCTGTCTCTGTCTCTCTGGTGGTGAGAAGATCCAGATCCTTGTTTGGTCAGCTCGATATGAAGCGACATGATTTAACGCACCGTCTTATTACTAATCTTTATTTATATATCTGCGCGCGCACTTATGCTAACTTGTGCTTATTATCCTGGATTTCCTCCCGATTAAGAGCGAATCTTCAAACGCTGTTCCTTGCTCGTATGTCGGAAGCGAGCCTGCTAACAGCTACTTAATCAATATCAGGCTAAACCAAGCCTACATCACGGTGAATGTCAATGTCACGCTTTAGATTTTTAATTTTATTTTATTTTATTTATTTTTTTGCTCTGTTATCTGTTGCTATGACCTATAGAAGTTGCCACGCCCCCTGACATTCACGACCGACTTATATATCCTTCCTGTCACAGCCGTACAGAAAGAAAATGAAGCCTAAAATAGGAATAAAAGGCATTATCATTTAAGTTTAAGCGCTCGCGCGGTGCATTAGGCAGAGACACAATGAAAATGCGCTCGCGCTGCTGCTGTTGCGGTCGCAGTGACGTCACAGCGCTGAACAGTTCCGCGTGGCGGGGAGGCACGTACACCACACAGTCTCCTGCACGCGCGCGCGCGCGCGCGAGTGTGTGTGTAAGGTTATTATGTATTCTCCTTAAAAGGAAAAAGGCCCCTTACTTGTATTAAACATCCATTTACTACCTGAGTTCTCACATACAAGCTACCATTCATAATCCTGCCAGTGAGTTTAAGAGTGAAGTGGCTCACCTCAGGTTTTTTTTCCCCGCCTGTATGTTTTACTGAGAGTACAACAATCCATGTTTTATGTTCCAGGTTTCCTACAAGCACAGTAAAGTTAACATCATCTCAGCTGTGATGCTCACTCCACCATTTTACAGTGATCTTTGTACTGTGGTGTGTTGCTTGGTCTATATTTTTGGTTAACGTTTGATTTTATATTTGAGTTTGGCCGGAGGTCAGGGGTGGCCAGTGGCCACCCTCGTGTGAAACATGGCCACCCCAGTAAGACATTTCTGGAAAATTCAAGTTCACTTTAGCAGTGCCCAACAGCGAGGATTGTCGAGTGTAATGTCACACAGGAATACGTTTTGCTAGTAAACACGGAAGGGAATATTTCAAGGCCCCACTCACCACGACGAACGAACATCTGTGCAAATATTGGTCAGACTTTTTGTAGTTAATTGATGTTGGATTTGAGCCATGGTGGCTTAGTGGTTAGCATGTTTGCCTCGCACCTCCAGGGTTGTGGGTTTAAATCCCGTCTCTGTCTTGTGTGCGTGGAGTTTGCATGTTTTCCCTGTGCTTTGGGGGTTTCCTTCGGGTACTCCGTTTTTCTCCCCCAGTCTAAAGACATGCCTTGTAGGCTGATTGGCATTGGCGTTTCCAAATTGTATGGAGTGTGTGTGTGCGCTTGTGCCCTGCGATGGACTGGGAACCCGTCCTGGGTGTCCCCTGGGACCCTGTCCTGGGTGTCCCCCATCAGCTATAATTAGCTAATGATATTGAATTCATAATTCTAGCATATCTCATAAGATGTAGCCTAACGTTAGTTACGTTAGCTATGACGTTTTTTCGTAGCTTGTCATTTTCTTGTCATGGATACAGATTGGTATTTTGCACCATCCTAGATTGCCATTCCAAGAAACTCATTGTGTCTAACCCGGCCACCCCTTTATAAAAGGTCTGAATACACTCATGTATGTGAGTTATAGCTGTCATTAGGGTGAGCGTACATCTGCAGCTGCTTTATCAAACGACAAAATGGCATCTGCATGCTCAGGTAGTTATCTAACAATTTATCAGATGTTCATGATCAGGGAGGAAAAAAGGCCAGATGCAGAATATTAGCAGCTTTTGGTGTTTCTAAAATGACTCCTGTTAATTACTAGTATTTTATTAATTTACCCATGAGAGATTATCTTATCTTAATAATATGCCATGCGATCATACTGATAACAGATCAGAATTCATGTGTTTTTAATATTACACATACATGTGCATGTGTGTGTATCTCTGTTAGATTCTCTTCTCCATCCACATGTCTCTCAGCATAGAAGTCCCAGTAATGGCTTCAAAAATATCTAAAGCTATTCATCTGACCTTCTAACCCTTATCATGAGCAGATGACAAGCTGCCAGAAGACCTCCAGAGCATGTAACCTTTCGCGACGAAGGCTTGTGCTGCTGGTTCGTGGGTCATTCGATGAACAGGGCACCTTTTCACTTCTGAAAAATTTCACATAGCTTTTCTGATCAGTCTTTGGCAGGCTTCTGGAAAAGTTCACCTTGATGTGATAGAAAATCAATTGCGCAATCTCGTACTGTATACATTCTTTATCTGGTAAACAGTGCTTAGGTTGAATGTACTTTACTCCCTGTATACACTGGGATTGTAAATGTTTTTGTCGTTTTTTTGTAAGGATTATGCTAACAGCATTTATACAGTAATTTAGAGCTGATACCTTACGCTTGCCCAACTTAGTCAAACATCGTCGATCAGAAAAAATAGTCGCTCAGAAATGAGACGAATGTACTTGTCCTTGAAGTGGTATCCTCTGGGCAGAGAGATGATGTAACTTCCTGTGAGTCGTGTTACTTGAGCCATGACTTCTTCTTTTTCTACTTGTACACTTTTAATGACACAACTCTCTTTTGTTTTATCGTTAACGTAATGATGGATGTGATGCTATTGATTTGGTTAGTGCAGATGTTCTGGTTGGTTCAGATCAGACCTCTGTTCACACCAGTGGCACATATGAGTCATTTATAAACATTCATCTGAACCATCAGGGCAGAAAATCAGATCTGAGCACAAAAAAATTGAGTAATGACACTTGTAACGTGAATGTAGTGTAAACACAAAAGAGAGGTGTGTGTCCTGCAGGGGAAGAAGGAAGGAGGAATGACTGTGTTGTAAATCTTCAGGGTTTCATCATGGCATTTCTCGCTTTCTGTCTGTCATCTTGCATTGCTCAAACCTTTTCACACTAGTTGGCTATGCCTTGGAAGTTGATAAATAATATTATTGGGAATGAGTGTGTGTGTGTGGGTGTGTGAGTGTAACGTCTAATGTAATATGTAAGACTCGAGGTGAGTGTTGCCTTGGCATGCTTTCGACTTCCACTTCCTTCTGCGCACTTTCTCAATCTCCTTTCACACCGTCATCCTCTTTCTGTCTGCCTGTAACTCTTTACATGAAACAAATAATGATCATTTTAATGCAGTAGATTTTTCTGAATGTAATACCTGACTCATATACAGTGCTGCTTGAAAGTTTGTGAACCCTCTGACATGATCAGGTTTTGTGTAAAAAAAAAAAAAAAAAAATAGAATAACCTAATCAAATGTACATCCAAAACCCAATTTGTGAAGCAGACTTCCAAATGATGGACACAAACAAAAAAAAAAAGGATATATTGTCATTATTTATTGAACAAAAGGGGTTAATCTCACAAAAACTGGAAATTTGACTTGTGCAGAAGTATGTGAAGCCTTTTATTTAGTAGCTTGTGGCACCTCCTTTTGCAGCCATTACTTCAACCAAACGTCTTCTGTAACCACTGACCAGTCTCTCACATCTGTCTTTGGGGATTTTTGCCCACTCCTCCTTGCAGAACTCAGCCAGTTGAGAGAGGTTGGAAGGACATCTGGCATGTACCGCCCGCTTCAGGTCTAGCCACAACATTTCAATTGGATTGAGATCCGGACTTTGACTAGGCCAATCAGCAGTGTGAACCTTCTTTCTTTTAAGCCATTCCTTGGTGGATTTGCTTGAATGCTTAGGGTCGTTGTTTTGTTGCATCACCCATTTTCGGCCCAGCTTCAGCTCTCTGACTGATGCCAGGAGATTCTCTTCAAGAATTTGTTGATAGGTCTGAGAATTCAAGTTTCCCTGAATAATATGGAGTCGCCCTGGCCCGGAGGCAGAAAAGCAGACCCAGACCTTCGCATTTCCACCACCATGCTTCACTGTTGGGAGGAGGTTCTTTTCCTGGAATTCAGTGTTGGCTTTTCTCCAAACATGGCGGCTTTGATTATGACCAAATAAATCTATTTTGGACTCATCTGTCCAAAGAATGGACTTCCAAAAGGCCTCTGGTTTGTCCAAATGCTCTCTGGCATAGTTGAAACGGGCAGCTTTGTTCTTTTTTGAGAGCAGAGGCTTCTTTCTAGCAACCCTCCCATAAATGTCATGTCTGTTCAATTTTCATCTGATTGTAGACGCATGTACATTTACCCCAGATGCTACCAGAGAGGTCTGCAACTCTCTAGAGGTGATGTGTGGGTTGGCCTTTACCTCACTTATTATTTTTCTGGTGCTTCTTGATGATAGTTTTGATGGGCGTCCACTTCTAGGCAGAGTTGTGGTCATGTTGAATGCCCTCCATTTGTAGATGATTTGTGTTACAGTGGATGGATGGAGTTGGAATCTCTTGGAGATGGTCTTAAAGCCTTCCCCAGACTGATGGGCTGTCACCACCTTCTTCCTGATGTCCTCGGATATCTCCTTTCCTCTTGGCATTGTTTGACTCCTTGGCACTACAGTGGTTTGGTTGGTTTCCTCTCTCTTTTAATCAGTGTTTCCCAACCACTTTCCTAAGGATGTCTAATTTGATTGGTCTGCTTAACTGATTAATTAAGCACCCAAATGTGTTTCACCTGAATCTGTTACCCACTTGACTTTATCAATGCAGCTGGGGCTTCACTTACTTTTGCACATACAACAATTCAATCTTTCATGTAGTTTTTTGGCTACTCACAAAATTCCCTCTAAACAAACATATGCAATTGATCAACATACATCTGACATTTAATTTATAAAAATCAGGTGATGATAAAATAAGAAAATCATGGTAAAACAACAGAAAACTCTGAACAGCTCAAGGGGTTCACAAACTTTCAAGCAGCACTGTACGTTAGGGCTGCACAATATAGTATTTATTAATGCATTCGGTGACGCTTTTCTGCTCACCACGTTTGTAAAGAGTGGTTATTTGTGTTACTGTCAGCCTGAAGCATTCTGGCCATTCACCTCTGACTTCTCTCATCAACAAGGTGCTTCCACCCACAGAACTGCCCCTCACTGGTTGTGTTTTTGTCTTCCGTACCATAGAAGTACCCGAAATTACTGCATAAACTGTCAAAATTAGGTCATCAGACCTTCTAACCCTGATTATGAACAGAAACCAGAATGTAATACATGACTCATATTTAAGCCTACACAATATATTTTTTTTATTAATTGTTCTCAGTATATCGCCCATTGTGATGCTGGTATCAGAGAAGCCTGCAATATACAAATGAGCATTTTATCATGCCACGTTATATGTTCGTGACCATGTCATATAAGTTTTCTGGGGTTGTTTTAATGAATAATCCAGGAAAAAACACTCTTGGGAAGGCTCTGTGCTGACTGATCATCAGCTAAAACTAGAGCAAGAGATTGCATGTGAAATGGATGTTGAGATAAAATTTGCAATCTGCAAGAAAAATGTCAAGCAGCTATAATGTTTTTTTGAAACATTACTTTTTAAGTAATGTTGCAGGTGAAGCACTAATGTTACACACAGTGCACACTGCCATGCGATTAATAAAACAACAAGGAGCGCGCTCCTTTTGGTTCAGCCATGGAGGGGCTGTGATGAGTGTATAGGGAGGTGTCTGTATCCTAAATGGAGAAGGAAATATTTTTGTTGAAACAGAGAGCAGCAGCTATAAATGTGTTCTTGATAATAAAGAATGGGTTGTCTTTAGAAAGAAGCAATAATAATATCAGTATTCACCTCTAGGCTGCTCTGCTGTATGTGAAGTGAATTCTATTTGCTTATTTATTCACTCATGTAATTATAAATTATTTAAAAATGTATTTAAAAAATTGGGGTAAATGTATGTTCTGTCTCAGTTTTTCGATCCTGTTTATGCATACATCTGTTCACTCTAATGCTCATACTAGCTTTACTACAGGGTGTCCCAAAAGTCTCCATACATTGGGGAAATTAACACTATTAAGCAAAAATTTTTTTCCAGATAGCCTTTAAGAATGCCTTTGACAAAAGAAAAAAGTACTGCAATCAGTCTCATGATTGGATCGGAAAGCTGTCGCAAGGTTGCGATGGACTTTGACAGGAAACATGACAAGCACATCACACACAGCACTATTGCCAAAATTGTTAACAAATTCAAAAAGACTGGAAGTGTTGCATACCAACCGAGAAGTGGGCGTCCACGAACATCCACTGATGAAGGCACAACCGACGTGGTGCTGGTGTAC